CGTTACTCATTTTTGATTCTTCATGCGACAGTGGCTGACTTTCGGCAAAGATTTTGGAAGTTTCTCACCGAATTTACTGCATTGAATGAAAGTTTCTCTTGCGTTTGACTTGTCAAATCCAAGAAGTACAGTGACAGGAATAAAGAATGAGAGGCATTTGAGAGTTCATTGGACAAATTCAAAGAAATTGATGCAACCGCAAAAAAAAATAAATAGTTGCAGAAAAATCAATTATTTGAGGAGTGTTTGCCGTAAAGTGGTGATTGTCGCGCCCGCGAAATTTCCCTTTCGTTAAATTCAATTATTTACAGCAAATAGGGATAAACCTATCCCATCGCCTTTTTTTTACTTTTCATGCGACGATAGTCCTGACTCCTGCGATAATTTTGTAATTTGTAATTTCAGTTTAGAGACGCTCCACGTCATAGCGTTATTGCTCTTGCTCGTCATTGTTCACTTTGACTTGGAAGTCGGCTGTGCTCCGCTTCATGTCTGTCCAAAAAATATTGGAATATTTTAATTAATTATAAATTTTATCAAATTAATCATACAAAAAATTAATTCATTAAATAGTTTGAGATTTTAGCATATTCATATTATATTGAGCAACTATAGATCAAAGTTGCCTTTAATACATTAATGTTATCAGGTCGAAAATCCTAATAAACTAGAAAATCTCGTGTTTTTACGTACGTTAGAATACAAACCGTACTTTATATTTTATATTTTACTTTATATACGTACTTTATATTTTTTTTACTTTACTTTATATTTTTTAGTTATTATCTCTCTAATTCATTACTATGAACATTTAATGGAATAAGAAATATAATAAGATTGACATCTTAAGAAACTAAAAAATCACTATGTTTCTTGTTTAAAGGAATATTGAACCGGTTTGAAACATGATTTGAACGAGCACCAATTAAACGCTGGGTGGGCGAAACACTGTCACCGACTTTCAGCTGTTGAAGTTCAGCTGTCGCATTTAATAAGGCTACTTCAACGAGTAAGGCAGAGGAATATACACGTTTCAATCACGTGTCTGACTTGAGTGACAAACTATTACCCACACATGAAGATCTAATCAACTACAGTATTTATAGAAGAAATCTAAGTAAAATAAGTAGTGGTGGCAAAGATTCATCAATATGTGATGTTTGTGGAGTTATGACCTGAGACGTTATGAAGTTCCATAACTAAGCATCGATTCCTTCGCTGACAGATATTCGAATTGCGACATAACTGGAAAATAATAGGATTAATAATAAAAAGTAATTGTTAACTAAACAAATCGCATCAAATTCCCGAGTTACAGCGTCAAAGTGAGCGCTTTTTTGGAAGATTAAGAAAATATATTTAATTTTGCAAGTGTCTCTCTTTTGATTCTTTTATTTATTTTTTAATTGATACGAAAGTTCCTATCATTGAACGATAATTTTTGCGCAAATTAGTAAACGAAAAATGAATATTTAACCACAAGATTTAAACAAATTTAAAGAACTATTAAGAAGAGTGACACGAAAGGGACGTCATGAAGAATTGTCGATGCCTTCACCTTAAACAAGGGAAACTGCAAATGATATAATTGTAAGTGATAGCACATCGAGTGTCATTGAAGAGGATTTACTTTGAATCTGATGTTCCAGGAGGCAAAAAGGTGGGAATTATCGATGAAGCGAATTGATCATAAATATGAGAAACCACTTCGCTGATTCAGTTATTTGATTCAAATAAATGGATTACATCTCCCTCACCTAATTAATTCTTTAAATTTTAAAACTTCGTGACCTTGTAGCTTCACCGCGCTATGCAATGGTCGTGAAAATCTATTTCGATTCGAAAGAAGAGCTAATGACGGTGAACTTGCTACGAAAACTCGAAAATTTAGAGCTCACAAGTAAATTCATGAACCACCGAAATATCTGACATAAAATAGAACTTATAAACTTCAAAATTACAAACACATGAAATCTCAAAGGAGGTCGGTGGGTGGTGAATGGAGGTCGGTGCGTGGTAAATGGTCGGTTGGTGCGCGGTGAATGGTCGATTTTAGCATGTTGAATGGAGGTCGGTGAGCGGTGAATGGTCTGTCGGTGCGTGGTGATCGAAATAGTCCGTCGGTGCGTGGTAAATGCATGGTCTGTTGGTGCGTGGTGAATGGTCTGTTGGAGCGCGGTGAATGGTCGGTCGGTGCGTGGTGTCTATAGACAATGTAACCATTGTCATTGTAATGTTGCATGCAGACTGCAAATTCCCTACTTGCATTCCCTACTTGCAACAGTCAATCAATGCATGGTGAAAATTTAGTCGGTGCGTTGTGAAGTGTCTTTCGGTTAGTGGTGAATGGTAGGTCGGTTTGTGCTGAAGGATCGTTCGGTGGGTGTTGAATGGTCGGTAGGTGCATAGTAAATGGTCGGTTGGTGCGTGGTGAATGGTCTATCGATTGACCGTATATATACAGGGTCATCAATATTTAGCGTTACAACTTTGTGTGGTTAGAACTATGAAATGAAACACAATTGTGAATGTTTGAAAATGTATTTATGTAGGCAGAGGTTCAGAGATACAATTCCCAATCCTTCGTCCCCATTCTTCGACCAAATTCGATCATTTTTGGAGTTGAAGTGGTGTTCAACATTGAATATTTTCTCATCACTGAAAACGAGGTTTACCAGCGTGCCATCATGAATGCGGGAAAGAAGAATCTTGGATCTTTAGAAGCGTTTGTCAACAACTTGTGCATCTAGTTGGTGTTTTTTGACCCAATAAAGATGATAAATGATAAATAATGATAAAGATTAATGAGAAGGTGTAAACAAATGACAAATATCACGGACAACAATTGATTTTGAAAAAGAATGTAACGCTAAATATTGATGACCCTGTAGTAGCAAACTACGGCTGCAGTTCACTGCATTATGGTCTGAACTCCGATGGGGATTTCATAAGAAACATTGGCTGTCCCTAGCAGCACAGCTGGAGGCATGAAATTAAAAGATTGTGCTGAAAAATTTGCAATTTATGTCTGTAAAGATCCGGCCTCAGACCACCGAGTAACCGGTAACCTCACCTAACGGTTTGCATTGACCATCCTTGTCTCACCTACCAATGACCGGAAGCTGAATAGGTAAACAGCTGTCCAATTAGCTGCGAAGCAATGCTTAAGGCGGGACGGCATTCAGGACCAACGGCAAGTTCCTCAAAGTTTATTAAATAACAAATTCAACAAGTAGTCTACTACGGAGCTAAGACGCGGAGGAGAGAGAGAGAGAGAGCGAGCAGCTGAGGGACAAAGTTCTCGATACTAGAAGAAAAATGAACATCGTAAGTACGCTGGTAATTCAGACGCCTGATGACTACCCTACCAACGGCCTTACATGACACCTCCTTATTTCTACATAATGTAAGCAACCTATCAGTAAACACACACAAAGTTACAGTAACAGTAACACAAAATACAGTAACACATAACTCAGTAACAGTATTCAACAGTAACACAAAATACGGCTCACCTAAGCGACTGTCAGGTAATCCCCTGTAAGCGAAGCACCAACACGCAAGCCGGGATTGACACAGCTATACTACTACCCTAACAAAATTCAAGGTATGCTTCAGCTTCCGCCCCAGAGTCGCTATACTCGCGTTAGAGTTATTCTGGGTCAGTTGGCCAACTGATCGCAATCAGCGACTAGTCAGAACCTCTTTGCCGACAATTTATATAGTCGCCTGAGAGTAGGGCAAGAGTTGGCAGAATCCCCTCAGTCCCCTCACCAGGCTCTGGTAGCTGTCTGATTCGGGGACCGGAATGTAGACCAAAAAGCGGACATCGAGAAGCTGATTTACGTTCGGTCCGAGTCCTAAGAGGCGTTTCCTAATTCAGGCTCGCCACCAGCTAAAAATTTTGATAATAAGGTACCAGCCTCGGCCTGCCTCAGCGCCGGTATACTTAATCTCTCCGGTCTGAATGCAACTAGGGAATTTGCAGCCGACATACAACATTACAATGTCAATGGTTATACATTGTCAATAGACTATGGTCAAGAGACTATGGTCATCCCATCGAGCCGACGTTTGGGATCCATCATAGCAGCGCCAAGTTAACGGATACGACAGGAGCAAAATTATCAGCTCTCATCAGCTTCGGTGGATCGGACGGAGTCCTCAACAAAGCGTAAAGGCGTGTGCATTTTGAGACAGCGATCTGATAGCTGAAGCAGTCGCAACCTCTGCGCTCTTGATAAAAGTTGGTCACAAACATCATCTTCTATGGGCAAAGCGAAGCTTCTTCCAGCCTGAAAAAATATCAAGACGCAATTTGATTTTGAGTCTTATTTCAACTCTTTCATGAATATTAACATTTTATTTTACCTTTTGACCGAGTCATGATACTTTATTTTTTCAATTTCTTTGAAAGCAAAAAGAGGGCAATATTTGAATTTTTTCTCGCGTATGCAATGCGCACAATTAATCGTTACTTCTCAACTATACTTGAACTCGTCATTAAAAACTCAGTACGTCATTGGTTTAATGATTAGTTAATTTAATGTATTTTCTCTAGCCGCACTTTATTAAGACTAGAATGGGTAACTTCATTTTAAATATTTGTAACGCAGCTGCAAAAGATTCAATCTCCAAAAAAATATTTGTCAGATTAATTTGTACATATTCGTTATTAGCACGCACCCAGTCATGAAGCTGGCGCTGTGATAAAGTTAGTAAATGCCAAGTTCTGGCGAGGAGATGCGTCGCCAGAGGCAGCGTTTGCTCGGTAAGTGCATTGCCACGCAATAGCTTGGACATCGCTGAACTGCACCGCACATCATCTGAATATCGGTTGGCGAGAAACTTTCGGCTATTTTTCGATGAAAAACAAAGGCTAGAACCAATCAAAATCATTTTACAATGAAATCCATCGTGAATTAGAAGCACGAAAAAGTGGAAGTTCTCTACATATAAACTGAAATAAAACTTTCTGTGTACCTGATATATTTCTTCAAGTTTAATGGATGCCTCCAAGGAATAAAATTCCTGGAATTTGGCTTCCTGCCGCCACGCCAAATTCACGAGAAAGGAACAATCTTGAGCCGCCTCCCCGGTCACCGTTATGGCCGAGGCGGCGAGAATGTCTTGTAGCCGCTTGAGGATGTCAACCACCGTCGAATCCAGCACAGTGACTGCATAGTAGAAACAACAACGGGCTAATTTATTGTCCGATCCAATTATAGAGAGATAACAATGTTGTGGTACGAATAAGTATATTGATACAAGAGTGAAGCTTCGAATTCAACTATTTAATGAGCTACAAATGCCCGTCCGAGTAAATATCGATGAGAAGTATAACAGACAAAATATATAAATACGCATCTTCGAATTTGGTCATAGACTCAAGCATCCGAGTCGTTAAAAATATGTAGAAACATGAACGGTAATGTTGTTCATGAACATTAATGTACAAACATGAACAACATATAATTATTGATTCTAATTTCACATGTATTTTAAAGTGAAAGTTAAAATATATAAAAATCCTTTGTATGAGCAATAGAACCTGTGCGCAATGACTGAAGCGACGCGGATGCACGGGATGAAGACCATGCGATTTTGAATTCGTTGCCAGGAAGAGCATCTGCAGGGGAGAATGTTGATGATAGTCGTTGAAACGAAAACGCATTGTTAGTACCTTTTAAATGATATGGAGGCAAACGATAAAGTTATGAACCTAAAGCCGGTAAATACGTTCCTGAATAACAAATTATTTTAACTACGAACTTGTGCACATAGCTTTAGGATTTTGCAATTCAGAGTTTTGACTTTCAGAAGCCACGCCACATTCAAATAAATAAATGCGAGAAACCTTTGAATAGAGGAGCAATTATTTCCCTTCGAAAATATAAATTATTCGAGTAAAAATTTATTTATTGAAGCGTCTACTATTTTGAAATGGGAAAGACAAGGACGTCGTGTGTCTTTCTTAATCTAATTAGTGGACTCTTTTTGGAAATAAGTCCTTACTCATTTTTTTTTGTACTTTCGAAAGTAAATCGTTCGCTCACCGGTGTGAAGTCATCCTATTATAATCTTTCCTTATATAAAAAAATTTCTTTCATTGCTAATTATTCAATTTTCAATTCAATTTCTTCATTGTTTTCAAATTATATTCATTTTGGACTTTCGTCATTGTTAACTCTTGGGAACCGAAATATCTTTGTGATTAGAAGTGAGCACCTTTGAGTGAGTACAAAATACCGTTGTGATCGCGAGGAATGGTGATTAGATATTATAATCTTCATAAGATAACTGATCACCGTCCTATAACCTTCTCAAAGCAAATGCCTCACCATATTTTAACCTCGCTTATATCACTGCACAATCGTATTATTACCAATTTAAGGTAATTGCACCGCCATATAAAGTGATACGAACATTTTTTGAATCAAGAGGATGAGCGCATAATGAAATTTTTATTCAAGTACATCTCTATATAACCACCATATATCACTGAGAGAAAAAGGCCCCCCGTTTTGAAACACTTGCGTGTTTCAAAACCTCTCGAGCTTGACGCGCTTATATTTGTGCGGCAAGCGTCGCGTGGTCAGTGCGCCGAATGCTGTCGTAGGAGGTGGTTGTCTGGAGCCGCCGCTCATGAATGCCACGAATCTATACTGCTTACGGTTAATTGTCCCAACTCAATTCGGTTAATTGTTTCAACTCACTGCTGTTCTTTTGTCAATAGTAATGTTAACGAGCGACGTCTATACCATTCAATCGCACCTGAAGTTGATCATAAAATCGAATGTTTATTCTGGTAGTACCGCGCGCAAGACAAAATAAACACGGCAGCTCTATGTAGTTGCCGTCTCCGTAGCTGAGTGGACTATATAAGGCGCCTGCTCGCGAACGTTTGGTTGCAGTCTTGGCAGAGGTTCGAATCTCGGCGGGCGACTCATAGTTTCTTCAATCAGAGTTCGATAGAGGTGAGAGCAAAGAGTGTAGTTTCATGATGATTGTAAATACCGATATAAATTGTGTAATAAATATGTGTATAAAAGAATGAATATGTGACTAATTTCGCTGTGAAGGAGAAAAGCGTTGAAATCAGATGGAGACGGAGAAATATAGTTTTCATAATTTTGGTATGGATGCGGCCATGGATTAAACTGGGATCGACCGGAGGAGTAGAATATGTTAAAATAATTTCATCAGGTGCTGGAAGCTGGACAAGGATATTGCATAAATTCTGAAAAGAAGGTTTCATTCTCCGTAGACTTCTTTCGGTGTTCTGACATTGTATCACCTAGGTGTTTCAAAATCGCAAATTTTGAAACACCTGAAGGTTTTTGAAACACACGGGTGTTTCGCTTTGGGCACAATCGCTCGGTGAGGATTTGAAACACCCAAGTGTTTCGAAACAGGGGGCCTTTTTCTCTCTGCAGTGCACCTTCTTAAGAAACCGCATCGCGGTTTTATTGCCTCTTGTGCGTAAAATTCGCATCACAATATTATACCATTTATTAAATAATCACATTACTGCATAATAGACTGTACTAGATAATTATATCACCGTATTTTAACTTTTATTTATCACCGTATTTTAACTTTTATTTATTTATAATCGCACCTCCATATTTTGAGCTGTATTAGCCACATTACAGTATATTATTAGGATTCAATTAGATAATCGCGTAACCGTAGTCCATTCTACTGACCACTCCTAAGTTTCTTAACCCTTAAATGAAAACTGAATAACCGTAGTATAGCATTTCAAGTTTCACCACCTCTCTATATTATAATCTTCATAAGATAACTGATCACCGTCCTATAACCTTCTCAAAGCAAATGCCTCACCATATTTTAACCTCGCTTATATCACTGCACAA